ATGCAGTGAACACTTGATCAGGGTCAACTGGCATACTAATTGATTGCCCACAGAATATATCGACTCAGACTTCAGCTCTACCATGCTCTGAGTTTTTCTTTTATTTTCAAGTGTTTTCACAATGCAAACTAATCTTGTTACCATTTATATTGCCACAAAAAAGGAATTATTGTGTTTAAAACATTGACATTGAAAACTGAGCGTAGATCAATCATGTATTTTCCACAATGGTGAGAGTAACCAACACTTTCTTGTTAAGCTAAGAATTCAAAAGACCACAGTCTTAGCACTTCAGCTGTCTGGGAATATCAGGCTTCAATTATATTGATCGCTTTTTATTCCTACCTTTCTTGTGTGCTTACAAAATACAGGAAACCCTTGTCGAGACTGCACAGCACAATACAGCCTTGTCTAGACAGATATCATTTGGCCTCAAATTCAATATATCAAGGCAACAACTTTGGGCCACGGTTACTGGTAACTGTACTGTTATATACAATGCTTTGTCTGACCACATCCGCCCACTCACACTGCAGGACACCCATCTCTGTGTGAAGTTCAGTTCTATTTGTTCATGTTTGAATTGAGAGAATGAATGTTTACTTGTACGAAAAAAAATCCCAATAGCGGTGAGTCTGAGTTGTTTCCAAAAATCCTACCAATGAGGAAGCAGATGAGTATCACTCATCTTTACTCTTTTGAGTTGACTACATAATTCAGGTGCGAGTAGAAAACAATCGTCTTGCCCTCCAGAAAGAAGACAAGCTAGGAAGGATGCAAGTTCAGATATTGATAATAAAGTCTGTTTACAACAGATCAGAGTTTTGTATATAAAGTTTGTTTACGGCAAGTCAGAGTTTTGTATATTTGACCACAGTGACTGTGATTTGACAGACCAGATCAATCAATGCATAATTGGTACCACCATCAGCCATCTTGAATTTGACAATGAATCAAATTTTGTGCAATTTCCCATAAAAAATGCATTAGGATGTGTGGTAAACTTGTGTGCACTTATAAGTGATGATGAATTAAGGCAAGTTTGAATTTGGTCTAGGAAGTTTAATGAAGAGTGAACTATGCCTTTGATGTTATTTCTATTATAACTTCTGCAGCAGATAGTACTTAATGGGATTACCAGAAGTGAATATTACTGGTTTTGCATTTGTTAAAACCAAGCCTAAATAACAGAAGGAAGTCAAAAAATGGCAGTGAAAGTTTATAACAATTCTGTCATATGACTCTTTTCAAAAGACCCGCAAAAGGATTGATAAAAACATGTGTTTATCGATGACATTTGAATTTAATTTGGTAACTCAGAAAAAATCTGATTGCCAGCTTATTAGGTCATAAAATTTTTGCAGTAGCGACAAGACTTCCATTTTGCTGCCTGGCAACTTTCATAAATATCTGTGGATGTGTTTTACAAACATTAAATTTATCTGCTTGTGCACATTTTGTGTGGAAAACAACAATAAATTGATATACTCAGTCACTGAAATTTGATCATCATAGAAATAATGATACTACACATAACAAATCACCTTCCAGCAAATATTTTTTTCACTTGATCATTTTCCACCAATAGCAAAGAAGTTAAATAGTTTATTCAAACGTAACCGCCCACCCCTCCATCCTTGACTGCACACAACTCAATTGCTTCAGATTCAGAATTCAAGTCATGTCATGGACAGGGTTGTGATATTCACAAATAAACACCTATGTATTCAAAGGCCACATCAATTGACTGAAATGACACACAATACAACACAAACATGATCTCCAATTGCACCTTATATTAGTTAGGTCAGTTTTATAGCAATCAATAAAAGAATGTCCACATTCAAAACAAATTCGATCCAAATAACAAATTCACTGTAACAACATTATAAACTTTTACACAACTGTGACAAGTGAGAACAGTGGTATGAATGGTTGAAATAGAAACATTACGCGGATATAGGGGGTGCTTTTAAGCTTTCTGTGACCCAAGAAACCATACCAGACAAGACCATTCAACAGATTCACCCACTGTTTAATCAAGCAAACAAATCAAGTTTGTGAGAAAAGTTGTTCAACCGAGAACGTTTTTATATAAAGGGGTGAAAAAAATAATGCAGCAGTGCTTCTGGAATGTTCATAGCAGTGCAGCACAGTGGAACTACAGAGCATGACCACTATTTTATTATTCTTAAATATTAAAGTGAACAATAATGTCTTGTTATACCATGGACATGGTTATACTAAGACATTTTTTCATATGTTAATTAACCAGCCAGTGTTTGAGACGAGTTGGAAATCTGGCAATCCCATTGTAATACTGTGTATCAATTAAATAATTAATTTGGTAAAATTGCTCTCTCAATTTCAATTCATTATTTGGATTTTCCAATACACACACAAAAAAAACTTTATTTTTAGTCAATGGGTAATATGTCCAACCTCACATGCCCAGAAGTCAGAGCTTTTTAATGTAATATAGATTTGTTAAGAGATCAACTATCATATTAGCCTTTGAAATAAGATCACTAACCTAGTTAAGCTCATAGTTTGCTTACTGGGATACTCATTCTCTACTGCTATATAAGCATCCTATTTGTATGAACTTTTCATTTCATTTCAATACAATAACCTTACAAAAAACTTGTTACAAATTTGTTAAAATGTTACAATTCCAAAATCCAGTATAGCACAGCAAAATATTTGTGCAATTCAGTCAATGGCTCTTGTACCTTATGTAATTGTAACTACTTCACAAGTTTTATAGTAGGATTATTAAATGTCAATATTCATTAAATATTAATTCATTATGTGTTCACACTAGAAAAGGTTGTACCACTTGGTGTCTGTTGCTCTAATATCACAATCCTGTATTCACACCAGCAGTTTTACAGGGAAGGTAAATAAGGTGGCCATTGGATAATACACACCGACTCTGACCTGCAGATATGCAATGGTTTGCATGTTTCAGATAACCATATATTTTAGTCTTTTGTGTATTTAAAATTGACAATCAGTTTAACAGTGTAATCTTTTACTGTGGAATACTTTATTTTCGCTGGAATTAATTTTCGCTGAAAAGGCTTTTTGGGCGTTTTGTATGGAACTTATTTTCACTGATTTTTGATGAATTTAATGTGAAATATAGGAAAAAAAGTATATTCCCTGGATTTTATTTTCACAGAATCATCCATTCAGCGAAAATAGCGAAAATAAATTCCAAGCGAAAATAAAGTATTCTACAGTATTTTGAAATACATGTTAAATGAACATAAAGTTCACCATAGACTCAAATGAAGTTTAGGACTCCAATTCACTAATAAATCTCATCATGCAGTGTTTTACTTCTAAATTATGAATTATGTGTATTGTATGCAAAATGAAAAGGAATGTTTCTTAGATTTCCAAATTTCAAAGAGGAATTTTTATGAAAGGCTTTGATAAACCACTGTACAAATGCTCTAATGGGTCGCAGTTGCAAATTGAAAAGAAAAACAGTGTACATGGAAAGGTAGAAGAATGACACACAAATTTGTTGGTGAACCCCATGAGAAGAACAAGTAGCATTCAATCAGAAAAGAGAATGGAGAAAAAGAGTGACTCATTCAATTCAAAACTGAATGCACAGAGAACATGGCAATAATTTTAGTCACCATTTTACTTAGTAACCCCTTCTGAAAGCCTCCGCAGATTGCCGAAATAAATGAGAACAAATGGAAACATCAGGCAATGTGTTAATTAATCTAATTAAATTTGTTATATTAAGTGATCAAAACACCACAGTGATGATTGAAGTGATGCCTAGTGTGTTGTATCAAAAGGTTTGACACCCCCCCCCCCCCACATCTGTAACAGTATATGGGAGGATGCCAGACAACAATTTCTTTTTTTTGATCTTTGTGATAGTTGATTACAACTCTCAGAATTCCACCACTAGGGAAGTCAAAATGTGAAGATAAACTGTCACAGGATATATACAACTTAAATGTACTATATACAACACTTTGGGGCTCAAGTTTTATTCTGGAACTGAAAAAATCCAAACTATGGATCTATATTTTTTTTTATTAATTACATGTAGATTACAACAAACAAAAAGATAAATATTATAGAAAAAAAACACATTTATGTTGGGTAAAGTCTACAAGAAAGAATATCTATTGTACAAGGTAGTGGGGGGGGGCAAGGTGCCCTTACTCCTTGCACTATACTTCACTGGGTACAGTAGCACTGGTGGCTGTGCACATATCCCATACCGTAAAACCCCCATTTGTGCAACTGTTTAATAAGAATAACTTTAATGAGGCTAAATTTTTGTTATATGGAACAAATTGGATTCTAAATAAAATTATAACACAAAAAGAGTAACTTCTATGCGGTTGTTTAATATTAGTGATTTTAATTGGGCTTAAATTGTTTGTTTTGGCGACTTTGGTGCAGAAATTGCTAAATTATCAAAAAGTAAATTGAGGGGTTGGAAACGCCGAAAATTGGTTTTTGGAGCGATACCCTAGTAAAATGAGCGACTTTGTTGACTTTGACACTGAACACATGTTTAAATGCGAGATGGCACGCAGTAAGCACAAAGTTGTATATTCACATCAGCCCCAGTCGCACTGAACTACACTGAATTTAAATTGCAGCGAGGACCTTGAAGCAAGAAGTCATCGCTCAGTCCGCGCATACTGGCGATATGAAAAGTAACTCCCAATAATCCCAATAAAAGTAACAGGGCAATCGTACGAAATTGTAGAAATCGTTTGAACGTTTGATTTATACTGGGTTGACAAACGGACGTGCAGTCCTATCAATAGGCAGAGCGATCGGTGGACGGACAGAGATGGTCCATTGGGACTATTATGTCAACTGAACAAAATTCTCGAACAAATATGAATCAGAAATTAATATAAAAAAACAGAATGACAAATATATAAACGTTATTCGGTTTGTCAACACATGCATAAACTTTTATGAAATTGTGATTTAAGTTGATAACTCACCGCTCCGTACGTGAACTCCAAGTAAATCGTAACGAGTATCGTACATATCAGGACATGGCGTTCTATTACTTCCCTGAACTTCATTCTAATGAAATATTACTGCAACAGCAGCAAGTAGAAAATGTCTTCTGTAAGTAAATATCTACAGTTTCCTCATAACCTGAAGCACTACACCAGAAAATATATCTCAAACTACCACAAGAGTCTTTCAGCTTTCCACCATTTTGCAGTGACCAAGGATCGGAGCAGTTCTACATCCAAGACCGATTCACAGGAAGTTCGCGGGACACTCGCGTACTACTTTTTGAAGACCGGCAAATCTAAACTTCACATAAAGTAGCAAAGTTTAACAAGAGTTGATACACCATCGATAGCAGGTCTCCACTGAAATAATCTGTTCGTTTAGTTAAAGCAGTAACGCGACACACGGAAATGAGAAAGACAGCCCAGTGTGTGGTTATGCAGATGGCAACGGACTATTTTCTAATGGCGTATGGTTATAAGAAGGTAGTAATTGAAGTCAACTTAGTGGCCAGCTGGATTGGTATTTGCGTTTGATTACTCGTAAAGCACCGGTATCTTTATAGACGGGGTTTAGAGAGGAAATATGAGCTTAATTCGGTCAACATAGGGTTGGGAGAAATGACAAAGACAATCTGCGTTTTCTATAGCCCAATATCCTGACAAAACCAGACGAGTACCTCGTTTGTCTAGAGAAGTTCCCTTACAGAACAATGTTCATCATTATAATAGTTTTTAAAAAGAATTCCCAATATTTAAAAAAATTTAAATTGGCCATATGCCATCATCTCGTGGCTCGTCCATAATTATGAATATGCGTTAAGATTAATATTTATAGAATTTCCATAAGTGACACTTCAAACTATTCAAAGTCAAAAAAAAAAAAAAAAAAAAAGACAATCCATTACTTCATGAATTGTGCGCTTACAGATTATCGTCTTAGAATCTAAAAGTCAACTAACTCTTGAAAAAGATGTTCAGTATTTATGGGAGAAGACGCAAACATCCACAATACAATATATGTATAATATATTAAAAAGGGTTAATGTGATAAATCTTTAGTAGTATGCTTCCAACCCCACTATGTATTTATTTCCACGTACACCCACATCTTTTAATACGTATCTATCTCAATGACGTGATAACATACTACATTCAAATGAATTAAAAACATCACTCAGAATTATTGAAAAGATGGACATCCTTGGGACATCCGTTATTTGCATAACAAATCCCATTCATTATTTTTCCGATGTCTGCCTCGCGTACACAAATTGCATAATATCTAACCATATGCATATCCCCCACCGAACTGCCAATGAATTTCATATAAGTTATTTTTTATATATATATTGTCACTAGTCGGATGATACGCGTTGGTCATCTGGTGTGTAAAATATGTAAGCCTATCCATCGAACAAACAAACAATAAGTATAGTCTCAGCAAGGTGTCAATAGCCGATTTGGTCGCCTTGGGAGCTTCCGTTGGCATACGTCTGGTGTCTGATCACAATACCCAATTCTCCCAACATAATTTCTCAAAGTTTGACTCCTCCTCCAAGATTGAACCCTGCGGAAGCCGTGATTGCTTTACTCCAATGTCCCTCGTTCCAACTTATGGGCCTATGAACACCTTGGCGAAATTTCTTTAATTTACAAAGCTGGAAATTTTTGTGGCTTGGACTTGGGACGAGAAGATATTGACACGGATATTTCAAAGGAAAGCTGGAAGACAGTATACTGACTGGGTTGGATATTTGCAGAGCGGACAACACTTGGCCGAAATCCGAGTTCCACCGTGCAGGCAGGCTAACGTCCTGCATACGCTGTAAATACTGTTGATGTAGCCGGTGATGTTTTCAGGTGTTCGATTTTGGACTTCTGGGCTCGTTAACAATCAGTCGAAAGCCATGTCTATCTGGTAAGTTGTCAAAGTGAACAGAAGGAAAGTCACGTCGCCGAAAAGGTCGGACTCACTGTATTAGAAAAGTTTGTGTGCATCATTCATTTGATAGATGTCCCGTTTATTTTTGCAGGTTGGTCCTGTTGACAATTTCTGTGTTTGCAACCGATTCGACGAGAGCTGTAAGTACACTTATGAGGTTATTTTCCTTAATAGTTGGACTTATTACCAATTTGTGTTACAAAATAAATGCTATCGGCTGGAGAGGGGTATTCCAAGTTCCAAGATGGCGTCAATCTAAATAAAAGTTAGAAACCCGGGCCTTCAAAATTATTAGTAAAGTTACTGTATATGCAACGCATTGGAGAAAAAATGTACCATTCGCCTCTTTAATCTCCTAACTGTAAAACAGTTAATAAGTTGCATTCTGCAAAATAAAATCAATTAATAAAATCAAGATGAATCCAACTAACTGTTGAGAACGATCTGTAGCGCCACGTAACTTACTACCAGATGAATTTGGCTTGTAGTAAAGTTGTGGAAAAAATGTCCAACTAATTTGACTGAACATTTTTATTTCAATAATCATACTTGAAACTACCATGATATTATCAATAAAGTCAATTAGTTTGTGACCAAATGAAAAAAAAACAAGTATAAAATGACGAAGCTTGCGCGTGTTACCATAAAACTTTATTAGCTGCGCTCTTATTTGAGTTTCCTATGAGCTAAATGGTACTGCATGGGTATATTACATCTGTTTGTAATCAAGTTGTGAGTTTGTTTGACATTTCATGTTTATGCTTTTGAATTTTATCACAAGTTTGAATTTGTTGTTATTACTTTTATGTCTGAAAGTGCTGGGTTGGGTGTAATACATCTCAACATAAGCAATAAAATATTAACAATAATTAAATCAAAAAACATGCTAACAGAAAATAATTATATATATCTGAACTTGATTCTGGTACTGTAAAATACTTTATTTTCACTTGGAATTAATTTTCGCTATTTTTGCTGTCAGAAGGAATGATTCAGTGAAAATAAAATCAAGCGGATATTCTTTTTTTCCTATATTTTACATTTAATTCATCAAAAATCAGTGAAAATAAAATCATACAAAACACCCAAAAAGTCTTTCCAGTGAAAATTAATTCCAGCTAAAATAAAGTATTTCACAGTATGCATTTCCTCTGTGTGATGTATATCTTTATCCTGTCTGTCTTATAAGAGAATAAGCTCTCATTGCACTGCAGTAACACAAGGATTGCTGTAATTGGGGTTAAGTTGAGTAGACTGTGTATAGCCTTTTAAAAGGTAACGAAATACAAGGGAAGTTGTGTTTTGTGGGAAGAAGTATGCTTTGATTGCAATTATATCTCCATTGATGAAGTGTGGAGGAAAGTTGCATGCAAGTGGCCATGACAGTTATCTGGTTACCTCAATTTTATGTAAATGTGTGGGTCAAGGTTGGAATGTAGAGGTCACTTGCTGAGTTGACATATCACTTTCTATCTATCTATGTAGTTATGAATGAAGATCTCGGCATGTATTTGATCCATTAATTGAGTTGGCATCAAAATATGAAGTTAATTAACCAGTTTCTTAATTAACCTTGTGATACAAATTCTGTCTTGTATATTTTTTTGTATAAAAATATCGCTCCAAATTGTTGAGTGTAATAAAATGACCCAATGATAGTTTATAAATCTGCAATCATATTTTCTTTTGATTATGTATTTATATATATATTTTTATCTATATTTATATGCTATAATGATGGCTTAGTATGTTTTTATGGTTCTTTTTTTAACATTGATGGACCATAAAACTTATTTTGACACCAGACATGGTAGGCTATGGTTGTTCATTATTATTGATCACATTCAAGCAATGACATTCAAGTAAATGAGTTAATTTTCTCTTGCTTTAATGAACTAGTTTATGCTTCAATGAATAACAGCTGAATTATTTGTGAGAACCCCATTGTAATCTTTTTAGTCCCCGTTCGGACGCAGTCTGAAAACGGGGACTTGTGTTTTGACCTCCGTGTGTGCGTGCGCCTGTGCGTGCGTCCGAACCTGTATCTTAGAAATGCCTGGACTAATCACAATCAAACTCCACACCTACATCATACATAATATTTTACATATGCACGTCAATTTGTTTCACGATCTGATTCAAGATGGCCGAATGGCGGCCATTTTTGTGCTAAAAAATCCTAAAAATCAACCATTTCTCGGCTGTTTACAGATGGATTTTGTTCAAACTTGGTATATACATTAGACATTATTATTTTTCAGATAAGATTCAAAATGGCCGACTGGCGGCCATTTTGTATTAATGAATGTGGTTCTCGTGCCATATTCTGACTTGCTTTCACTGATTATGTTCAAATTTTAAATATTCATTATACATCATGTCATAGATAGACAGATATACTGGTTTGACGATCCTATTCAAAATGGGCTTCTAGACCCATATCTCCGACTTGTTTTGACTGATAATATTTTCAAATTTTAAATATTCATTATACATCATGTCATAGATATATTAGTTTGACTATCCTATTCAAAATGGCCGAATGATGGTCATTTTTGTGCTAAACAATCATCAAATATCAAGCATTTATGGGTGGATTTTGTTCAAACTTGGTACATACATTAGACATTACGGGTTCCTGATGCTCGTCATTTTATTTTTCAGATTGGATTCAAAATGCCTGACTGGCGGCCATTTTGTTTTAATGATTGGGCTTCTAGAGCCATATCTCTTAAATGCTTTGACTTATTATATTTAAATTTTATATATTCGTTATACGTTTTATATATATACATGTAATCAAAATGGCTGATTTTTGGACATGTACTTGTTTAACGATCAGATACAACTGTCAATCATTTTAATGTTAAAAAATCATATTCCTGTCATGGTTATATTCCAGCTATATTACTATAAACAAAACTATATATCTTAAATTTGATAACTAATGGGGACTGTGCCATGCATGGCTTGTGTATTTCGTGAATGTGCCTAATATGTAATACTGTAAATGCACTATTCACTACATTCTAATTTTGATATTTTTGCTAAAAAGTTAATTCCACTCAATTGCGTGAACATGTAAATTAATTACAATTAACCTAATTCCTGAATTAATGGTGTTTGCACATTTATTTACATAACGTCTACAAACTGGAAGGTGGGACAGATTTTGACTGTTCCAAACAGGCAGAGCCGTAGCACACTGCTTATCTGTGTTTCCAACTCATGGCATAAAAAAATCACCTCAAATAAAAGGGCCATCATCTTTCCAATAACTCTTATCATCAGCCTCTGAAAATTTGACGACTATTCTGTCTAAGCAAGAAAAACAAACATGCAAATTATCTTTGGTAATGGTTATAGGGTAATTCTTCATACTTGCATCATAGCAAATGTATGTCATGAGTGGCACATTATATTGAATTTGAGGGCACACTGTTTAGTAATATCGTT